GGTTCCCAGCTGCCTCTGACGCCTCACTTCCACCAGCACCCCCTCTCACTCATGCACTTTCACAACACTGGTCTCCTTGCTAATTTTTTTTTTCAGCTTGCAAGACACGTTACCATCTTGGGCTCTTGCATTTGTGTTTCCTCTGCCTGGAATGCACTTCTGCAAAATATTTAATTAGCCAACTCTCTATTTCATTAAATTATCTGATCAATGTCATCTTTCAGATATGATTCTCTAATCATTTCCATCATGCTCCATGCACCTTTTCTGCATTCGTTTTTATTTCTAGCACTTATCACTGAGTGACGTAACATCTGCGTGTTGATTATCTCTCTTACATTAGACTATAAGCTCCCCATGAGGGCAAAGATACTGTGTGTTCATCACTGCAGTCCCAAGACCAAGAATATCTCCAGAAACGTATAATATATACTGAATTCGTGAACAGGTGAAAAATAAAATTAGTCAACAATTATTTATAAATTGAAATTCCAATTTATGGTTTAGTTCATAGCTTTTAATGTTGTTTACCCACGATCCATTCCTCCCCCTACTGAAATACTTTCTCTTTTGAACTGCTCTTATCAATTGAGTGTAAACTTGGTAAAATTATAAATTATAAAATATAAAATAAATGCCTCCAGCATTCATCCAAGACTTGGATACAACAACAAACTACAACAATCTGACTCCCTATCCCTGAGACTGAATGTGACCCCAGTAACCCTCAATCAAAAACAACTGTAGCTGATTGAGTCCAGTATTGTCTTTTGAAGAGATATGCAGAGGTAGATAGCATATCCAGCATTTATTATTTCTTCTTCCTTTTTTCTTTTAACATTTTTTTATTGAATGATAGTCATTTTACAATGTTGTGTCAAATTCCAGTATATGTCTTCTTCCGTTCTGGGAGCTATGCAATGTTCTTCTATAGGTTTTCCCTTTCTTGCCCACCTTTTTCGTGTGGGTTTGCTGTGATTAACCAGAGTCAGTTTCTGTTCCTTACAATCTAAAATCTAACACACGTGTTAAGCTCATATTCAATGTGACAGGCATCAAAGTACAAAACTGAACAGAAAGTCTCCTAATGCCCTTCTGTCTCCTTCTCATCTCTCCCGCCCACTTTGTGTGCTCCAGATGCACTTTCCGGTATCCAGTAGTTGTCCTCCAGCTATTCAAACCCTCCCTTTCTGGTGACATCATTTTTCCTTCCTCCCTTCTAGCACTGTGCACTCAGAGCTGCTGAACTGAAGTCGAAATTAAGAAGTAATCAATGATCAAGCCAAAATACACCCAGTTACCGATAAACAATAGCTTCTTAAATCTTGTCAGGTGTATTTGCATTTCTTTAAAAACAGACTACTGTTCCTTAAAGTGAATGTGTTTGTTAAAATTTCAGGATGACAAAGTGAAGAATTTTAGATAGTATAAGGCAGATAAACAAGATTGTACTGTGTAGCACAGGGAAATATAAACAGGATCTTGTGGTGGCTCACAGCGAAAGGGAATGTGACAATGTATGTATGTTCACGTATAACTGAAAAATTGTGCTCTACACTGGAATTTGACACAACATTGTAAAATGACTGTAACTCAACAAAAAAAAGTTAAGAAAGAAAGAAAGAAAGAAAGAAAGAAAGAAAGAAAGAAAGAAAGAAAGAAAGAAAGAAAGAATTAAATTAAATTGCCTCACTCGAGTAACCCCCTGATCTCATCACGGTTCAGTTAGCGATAAACAGAGGACCAAGACAGGACAACTTATCCATCAATTAAACAGATTTTAGTTGAACTACTCTTGAGTGAGTACATAAAGCATACAGACCCACTGCAAATGTGATTCACAGACCAACAATGGCTAATGCACTCCAAGGGGCCCCTCAGTCACCTGGGTTTTGGGGGATGGGGGCAAAACCAATGATTTGTTTCTAACCAGAAGATATGGCAAAGGAAATGGAATATGGATGCTCTTAATTAGGTTATATAAGACTCCATCTTAGCAGAATGAGAGACAGAGAGAGAGAGAGACTCCCTTGCTGGCTTTGAAGATTTAAGCTTCCACTTTGTGAGAAGGTCTGAGACAGAATGATGCAGCAAGGACCTATGGGGCCTCCAGGAGCTGAGGGTTGGGGGGGGCAGGCAACGAGAGACAGGAAGAAAGTAGAGACTTCAGCCCTACAACCACAAGGAACTAAATTCTGCCAACAACGCACGTGAGCTTGGAAGAGGAGCTCATGCTCTGGAAAAGAGTGCAGCCTGGCAGACACCTTGATTGAAGCTTTCTGAAACATGACCAGCTAGAACTTGCCTAGAGAGATAATAAGTGCACTTTGTTTTAAGACACTACACTTATGATACTTATGATAATATATTACATAGCAGTAGAAAACAAATACACTAGTATACCAAGGAGACAAGAAGATAAAAAGCATGCCTATAGAAGAACAAACATAGGTCGTGGAGTTAGTATATGCATTGCTCTTTTACTTACTGGTGTTTCATAGCCATTTCAAAGCACTGATGTGAGGATTAAATCAGAAATTTTTTGTACAGAAATGAGTCCACAAATGACAAATGCTGGAGAGGCTGTGGAGAAAAAAGAACCCTCCTACACTGCTGGTGGGAATGCAGTTTGGTGCAGCCACTGTGGAAAACAGTACGGAAATTCCTCAAAAGACTCAGAAAAGACTTACCATAGGACCCAGTAATCCCACTCCTGGGCATATGTCCAGAAGGAACCCTATTTCAAAAAGACACCTGCCCCCCAGTGTTCATAGCAGCACTATTTACAATAGCCAAGACATAGAAACAGCCTAAATGTCCATCAACAGATGACCAGATAAAGAAGATGCGATATATTTATACAATGGAATACTATTCAGTCATAAAAATGACAACATAATGCCATTTGCAGCAACATGGATGTCCCTGGAGAATGTCATTCTAAGTGAAGTAAGCCAGAAAGAGAAAGAAAAATACCATATGAGATCGCCCATATGTGGAATCTTAAAAAAATAAATAAATAAATACAAAACAGAAACAGACTCACAGACAGAATACAAACATGTGGTTGCCAGGGAGGAGGGGGATGGGAACGGACAAACTGGGAGTTTGAAATTTGTAGATACTGACAGGCATATGCAGAATAGATAAATAAGATTATACTGTATAGCACAGGGACATATATACAAGATCTTGTGGTACCTCACAGTGAAAAAGAATGTGACAATGAATATCTGTATGTTCATGCATAACTGAAAAATTGTGCTCTACACTGGAAATTGACCCAACATTGTAAACTGACTATAACTCAATAAAAAATGTTTAAAAAAAGAGAAAATAAAAAACAATTGTTTTTGTAAAGAAATGAAGGCTTTTTGTGACTACTAAACATCTCACTACAGTGAGCTTCCTTCTCATTTACTCTTTCTGTTGCAACTCAGCGGGTGTCACAGCCCCGCCCATCGCCAGCAGTCAAAACCCTCATTCTGAAGAGTCACCCGCAGCCAAGTCTGAGCCACCAAAAGGGAGGGCTTGTAGTACTTCAGGACCTCCTTCACACCCGACCCATTCTCTCACGTGGGAGGGAGGAGTGGGTTCTAGAAATCGTCACTGTCCCAACATGTGTCGTCCCCAGCACTTGGAGACTGGTTGTTACACGGCCGGCACAGAGGTCCACGGGAGGAAGCAGCAGGAGCTCCTTTTCTCATTCTCCCTTGCGTTTACACAACCTTCTGCCGTGGCTCTTGCTTTTCACAGCAGTCTGTTGCTAACACGGTGCTTGGCTCTTGTCGGCTGATTAGTTGCATCCTGACTCGAACCTAGATTTACTTTCTAGTACTTGGACAACTTGCCAGAGAACCATGCCCATGTGAGCTCCCTCTGCATCTAAGATAAGAACCTTGCTATCCAGAAACTGCCACCTTGTTACATTCAGAAAGATGAGGATTGATAACCTACTGCATTGTCTGCAGCCCGGTACAATTTGAAATCAGCAATGAGTGATTCATGGGTTTCTAGACACAAAATTTTTAATCCAGTGCAATTTTTGTCAACATTATGGCTTAATGGAATGCAAGTGGCTGTGGCATCCTACAGCTCCAATAACTTTCAGGGCTTTAGTAATTTTCTACCGAAGTATATTTTTTAACACACTCACTGAACACATTCTAATTAATTTTCTATTTTTAACAGCTTAAAGTTTAACTGTACCCTTGTGTGTCAGGTGGTTATGATTACCTTCTCTACAATTCCCTCACACATACTTTCCTATACAGCAACTAGTCTTTGACATTTCTCTCTCTCTCTTTTTTTGTCATCATTTATAAGTAAAAGCATCAGAAATCTAACCATTCTCAAATTTCTGAGAAGCTCCGATTATATTTTCTCAAACTTGCAATTACAATTTTGAAGAAAAGTGCTTACAGCATAGGACACCTAGTTCCTGCAAACACAAATGCCAGATTTTTCATTTCTCACCCATCCAACTGGTCTTTCTTTCAGGCACAATTCTAGTATTGATACTTTTATTTGTGGTTTTGTTTTTATCATCAATCTCAATCCCAACACACAACATTGTTCCATGGTCTCAGTTCAACTTTAGTTTCATTCACAAATCCAATAGCATCTCTGGTAACCAGCCTCCACCCAGATTTAATTCCCACCCCCTTTCTCCATCTTCTCCCTGAGGAGAAGCTGTACCCCAGAAATAGCACAAAGTACTCCAGAAAATCAAAGAGAATTTGAAGTAAGCTTATTTAAAGGCTCTGTGATGGGGAAGACAGCTTAAATTCCGCAAAGGACTGACTAACCTTAAGTTAACAAAATCTTAAACATAATTTAACATAATCAGTAAATAACATTCATCTAAAAACAGCTCTTCTGAATCAACCATTAGTGCTAGATTATAAATAAAGTACTTAATTTCATAGAACTAACTTTAAAAAAAAGCTATTCAAAAGAATTATTCAACTACAAGAAGTAATGTATTAAAAAATACTTACAATTTCTTTAAGATAGCCAGGAATTCTGTTAACTGCTCTTCAGATTTTTTTGGTCCATATAAAGTAAGACCACCATGTTCTTTTTTAACATGGATAGCTACATTGTGAGAATCATCAGGTTGGTGGGGCTGACTTTCTTCTGTGCCTTCAGCAGGTTTTCTGAACAAAGAAACAATATTTTATACTGTTGCATTTTGTACAGAAATTACTGACATGAACTCTATTATCAAGAGTAGAAATGCACTGAGATAATTTGGCATTTTAATAATTTATTCCTTTTCAATGCCTTTTTTTTTTGGTCATCAGTAAGGCAATTAAACACATTACTTTAATTATAAAAATTAGTGTATATAAAATATTTTCTATGTACAGAATTTGATTATAGGCATTATAACTGTCCCAAGTGATTGTAGCATCTTTCATAATAAATTAGGTGCATGTATTTAGGAAAATATTTCAATGATTAATACGCTTCTTTTACACTCTTAACAGCTGTTTTTCAGTTTTTGGTGGTTTTTTTGCACCAAAGATAAAAGCACATTTTTTAAACTTTTGCTTCTAACTGGTAAATTATGAACACCTTGGAAGTAGCTGCCATACTTTATTCTTGTGCTATGGTATGTTATACTCTCAAGTCCCCAAGAGAAGGACCATTTTCCATTTATTTTTCCAGCTCAAAGCTTTCCTATTAAGAGGTCACTGATAACCTACGGAAAAGAAATCTAACAAACACTGTCCATCCTTAAGAAAAAAAATAGTGGAGAAGATGATAAAAACCCAAATAATCATAGATTAGTACCTCTAATTATACACATGAAAAGATTAAAAACCAAAGTTAATGTAAGCTGAACATGATGTGGAATAATAACAGCAGTCATCACATTAACATCTAACATATATTTGAGTCCTTTTAAATGCGCGAGCTACTGTCAAACATTATACACATACATCACGTTAACATTAACATGTGCAATAAAAATATATTATCCCTAATTTATAAGATAAAGAAGTTGCAGTTAAGAGTTTAAGTAAGTTGTCTAACCATTCACATCCAGTAGAGTCGGATTTTTTTGGTAATCTAAAATCCACAGAATATCAAAGCTTAATAGGAAAACTTACCTGACATACACGGAAAAAGCCCAGCCTAAGTTACAAAGATAAAATCGAAAGCCAAAATCCATTTTCCCTTCTGCCACTTTCACAGACCCTCGGCCGTTCTATCCACAGAGGCTGTTCTATCCACAGAACCCTATTTAAAACTCTATCCCTAGTTACTTCTCTAAATAGTAAGAGCAATAAAACTCAGCAATGATGAGGGTTCAGATAGAAAGCAGTTGGCTCCTCTCCTCCACCCAGCCCTGATTCTCAAATGCAAATGAAATAAAGTTTTGATCTTCTAGAGAAGAGAGGTTTGTGGACTGGGGGACAAGGTGGAGGTAGATAAGGCAGACTTTGTGGTGGAAATGTGGAAAGTGAGTCCCCATACACTCAGGATTCTTCTGGCCCAAGTTCATCATATTTGCCCAAAGCAAGAGACTCCTGGAGTTCCTACCTTTATATTGGAAATCTCAAGCCAGCCAGAGGGTTCAGAATAGCCTACAAAGATATTGAAGCCCTTTGAAGCCGACCAGGACATACCAAACCACCAAATCCAGCAGGAACAAATAGATGTTCATATACATTAATTGATTAATTGATTAAGTTGTGTCTTATGCTCTTTGGAAAATGGTAGAAAGTAACCCTCACTATATTTACTAGCAATAATTCAATATAGAAGTCCAAAATGTTCAGTCACATTAAAGTCAAAATTATTTTATGAGAGATTAATAAATGACTGTGCAAGCTGGCAGGGCCAGCAGGAGTACAGGAGGGCACATCTTCTCTAAGGAGCTACGCTGGTAATCTCAGACTTCTCTCTGTTTCTGTTTCACAATTACCTTTAATTTTTAGCAAAGTTTGATACCAAATAAAATCTCTGATTCTTGTGAGTTTAATCTGATAATTGAATTGTGTTATTCTCAGGCCTACAAAGTTTTTCATACAAATCCTACCTATTACATAAGATTGTTCCAAGATATGTAATATTTGTGCTATCATGTTATTTGTATATATGTAATAATATTTCTGTATCTAAACACTTCTTATGATACAATATTCATTTTAATACAAAATCTCAGCAAACTGAAAACAAAAGTAAACTTTCTTAACAGGACAAAAATATTTGCAAAAAAAATACAACAAATGTTATACTTAAAGTGAAACATTAAAACTTTGCCTCTGGAATCAGAATTATGTATGCTGTTCTAATGTTGTGGAGTTTATGTTTAATACTGTTGTGGAGGTCCTAGCCATTAAAATTAAAATAGCCACAAAGTATAAGAATTGGAAAAGACTGGAAGAGCTATTATTTTATAATAGTTTATATACATGGAAAATGCAAAATAATCTACAGATACTAGAATCAGTGAGAGAATTCAGTAAATTTGCTGAGTTAAAGTTCAACATACAAAACAGCAATTTTATTTCTGCCTTTAGGTTCCTTAATATGTAACGCAGGAAGGCAGCAATAGAATAATCAGTCTCATAAACGTGTTACTGAGAGCTGTTAAAAGTGGCATGAAGAATTTATACACGTTGTGAAAACAATTATAAGATGCTCATACAGGTGCAAAAGCAGGGGACCTACTGCGCTTGTCAGGAAAAGACGGTGTCTATCAGAGAGATTTAAGCTGAGACGTGTAAGATGATGAGAAACAAAGAATATCTGGTAAGAAGCTAAAAGGAAGTTTTTCTAGAGAAGAAACCTCTAAAAATGCTAAATTTTACCCAAAAATATTTTTGCCCTGTCAAATAGGTGTAGCCACTGTCCAACAGATGAATATCCTCTATTAATCTATTCATATTTTTTAGCATCAGCATGTCCACTGACTTGTGAATTAATTTTTACTCCAAGTCAATGATACTAATGCATGAAATTATTTATAGAATTGGATAGATACCATAGAGCACTGGTGATTTTGTAATTCTATCCCTTTCTCTACTATTGACTTTTAAAAGTTTTTGGCATTGTTTTGCACGTAAGCATTGAATCAAGACTTGGAATCAAGCTATGCTAGCAGTCACTGAATTCCTTGTTGCCATGCATGTGCAGTTTTTAAAAGCCAGAGAAATCTTAATTTTATTAAATCTTATTCCTGTGACCCTTGAGTACACACCTCTTTGTGATATTCTGCATGACAAAATGAGAAGTGCAGATAAACGTTTTTGTAGCTTTCCAAAGAAATTTTGGTCTCCAGTAAAATTGCTTCTACTATTATGTGGGTGGCAAGCTGAAGTATCCACTTTCTTTACTGAGCTTCATATTTACTTGAAAGAACCACCAACAGACAAACTATAATAATTGACTTAGATGCTTGGATACGACCTGGATGTTTGGAATGTATTTTCTCAAACATGAGTGAAGTGAGATTGTGACTGCAAGGAAGATGCAGTGTATGTTTCCAATGATAAAGTGCAAACTTCCAAGTGAAAATTAGAATTTAGAAAACTTGCATCTACATCCTTCTGTGAGCTTGACAGCCTCTCAGTACTTAAAGGCTCTTCTGATGAGATCATTTGTGACGATTGGGGTTTTTAAAAAAATATTGCATAAAGAAACGTCAACGTTTGCAAGATCTGCACAGCTCAATGAACCAATGTTTTCCAAATGGCCAATGTAAGTATTACAAAATCATACATCGGGAAGAGAGCCATTCATAGTTCAAAATGTACTTTTTACAGATAGCAATGCTTTTAAATTGGCTATATTCTAGATTTTTTTCAAATGCCTCAGTAAACTCACGTGATATGGATTAGCACTACTGCTAAACAAAATAAAATGAAATTCATATGTTATCTCATTCAGTCCTCCAAGATCACTCTCAAGTATGTGCTATAGTTCCTACTTTTGGATGAAGAGACTAAGATTCAAGTTTGTGGTAATTTTTTTAAGGCAACATAATTGCTAAATTGCAGAACTGAAATTCAAACCTAGATCTGATTCCTCCAGAGACCATCACAGCACTTTACCCTCCATACATCCTGGCATTTGAGTTCTTACAAACTTTTTTATCAGTCCTCAAAATCTTTCTTTAACCTCCTCCATCACTTTTTTGTAAATCCATATACATTTCACTAAGTAGTAGTTACAGCCAGAGTAATATATGGTTCTAACAAAGATTCTTCCTTAAGATGTTTGCTGTAGGATTCTTCAGTCTTTTTTTTTTTTAAGAAACTGAAGTCATCCTGACTCAAAAATACAAATTAAATTCAGTCATTTTAAGGGCACTAAGTTAACTCCATCTGTTGAGTTAGTCTAATTATCACTAATGCCAAGCCAGGGAAATAAATGGGAACAGGTAAATCCCCATCCCCAGGAGGAAAGTGAGTAAATTGCAGGCTTTGTGTTTTGCTGAGCAAGAGTGCTGACTCTGCCCCACACATTGCCAATATAGCCGAAGTTAAAATTGAGGACAGCTGAAGGCAAGCTCCATTATAAATGCTTGACAGTCAACATTGGAATCCTGTCATCTCTTACAACATAAGAAAGAATATTTTAAGGTTAGACAGAGGTAAGCAATATTTCCCTGGTTTTTACTAAATTTAATGTCCTTGACAAGCTCAAAGTCTTCTCTTTCACTTCCAAAAAGCAATAGAAATTCCACGGTTAAAAGCGAGCAGTTGGACTTACTGGTAATCTATAGAATAAAGCATCAGTACGTTTTCCAGAATACATGACAAGCTGTACAAACAAGCACAAAAGTCAAGTTGTTTAGAAAAGATTATTAACACAGATTTACCTCCTATGGATTAATTGAAATTAAAGTTCAAATCAAAAAGTTGGGCTATGGAAAGACAACTTTTAATAGAACAGTATATTAATATATATTTAAATGATAATCAAATAGCATGTGCTGCCTTTGCTTATCACCTAAACTCCCTCCAGGCGCAGTTCAATTCAGCAAACATTTACCGAACATCCAGCCCAAGCAAAGAAGCGTTCATTGTGTTCATTATCTCAGCTCCCAGGTATGAATCATTTCCATTTTTCCACTTTAATCACCCCACTTTTTCCACCCACAGAACATTGCTGAATTGGTCACACACTTGGGTGATTACAA